GAGAGCTGAAATCAGGAGAAAGAAAGAGTGCCAGAGAGGATAGGGAAACGTTGGAGAGGGAAATGGGAAAGGTCAGATAAAAGGGAAAGTGAGAGAGAGTAGCAAAAAAGGGAAAAGGAAAAGTGGAGAAGGGAATAGGGAGGAGTCAGATTAAAGTGGGGAATTGAGAGTAGATGAGAAGGAAACGCAAAAATAGAAGGATAGGGAAAGGGGTGGTGGTCTTCTAAAGCTCTTTAACCAAAATGAATTAATAATTAATGGATTCGCAGTCAAATGAATTCCCAAGAAATAGTAGCGTGAATAGAAACCAACTGACTCCCTATATATACTACTCGGCAGTCATCGTATTAAGATAAAGTTCAATTAGATAATAAAAATGCAAAGAAATAGCTTATTTTGTCAAATTTGTATTTTTTTGTGTGTGTGTCCTTATTCTTATTAGTAGTATTACATTTTTATTGCTATTGTCACTATTATCAGTAGTAGTAGTAGTAATAGTAGTAGTAATAGTGGCAGTAGCAGTAGAAATAGTAGTAGTGGTAATTATCATCATTAGTGGTTAATGATAATAACAGTAGTAATAGTAGTAGTAGTGGTGATGGTAGTACTGGTAGTAATAGTAGTGGTAGTTGTAGTTGTAATAGTAGTGGTAGTTGTAGTTGTAATAGTAGTAGTAGCATCATAATTATTATCATTAACAATACCATTGTTCATAATCATTACCATTATTATTATTATTATTATCGTTATCATTATCATAATTGTTTGTTATCAATATCAGTATCATTATCATTATCAGTATTGTTATATCAGCTGCATTAACATCACTCTTATTTTCATTATGATCATAACCATCATTAACAGCAGTAGTAGCAATATTACTACAATTAGACTACATCCTAATCACCCACTCCTTCCTTAATCCTACCTCCCCCCCCCACCTTCTCAATTCCTCCCCCCCCTTTTCCCCCAAACCCCCCTCCCCTTTCCTCCATCTTTTCCCCTCTACTTCCCTCAAATCCCCCTCCCCCTCCCCTCCGTCTTCCCTTTCTCCATCCCCTCCCCTCTCCCTCCCCGCCTCTACCCCCCCCTTGCTTCTTCCCTTCCTCCACCTCCCCTACCCCCACCCCCCCCATCCCACCACCCCACCCCCCATCCACTCAATCACAACGACCCGGATGCCAAACTGCACATCTTGCAAAGACTCGCCCGCCTGCAACAGTTATTGAAATGTTGCAAGTTTCCATTTCTTCCTTTTTTTCCTTTTTTCCCTCCTCGATGCAACTTGAAATTCACTGAGTCAAGGAAAAGGAGGCAAGTGAAGCAAGCAGCAAGCGCATATTGTCCATCTGAAGACAAAATGGAGATTCGTTGGTGGGAATTTGTGTTTTGTGTGGTGTGGTTAAAGGGGGGGGGATGGGGTGAATGAGGAGGGTATGGTGGCGAATGGGGTATGGTGGTGTGAAGGGGAGAGGGTATGGTGGGAATGGTAAATGGGGTATGGTGGTGAATGGGAGGGTATGGTGGAAATGGGGGGGTTGTGTGGGAATGAGAGGTTGTGGTGGGGAATGGGAAGGTATGGTGCGAATGAGGAGGGTATATTGGCGAATGGGTATGGGGGCGAATGAGGTGGTATGATGGAGAACTGAGGAAGCAGGGCTGAGAATGGGGGGGGGGGTTAAGGTAGACAGGGAGAATGTAACGAGTAGATCTAAGAGTAGACGTGAGTAGATCTCAAAGGGGAAGGGGTTATGGGAGTATGGTAATGAGGGAAGGAGGTATAGGAGTATGGTAATGGTGATGGTGAAAAGTATGGTGCTCTTTGCGGTTTTGGAAATAGTGGTGATGACTGATGGTGTAGTCCTTGGGTGGTGGTGGTGATGAGCTGGTGATGGTGAGCTGTGAAGGTTCTGTAGGGTGAGAATGGTGATGAAAAAATCCCCGGCGGACTTGGCGTGGTGATGATGGCTTCGGCGAGGAGGTGGATATGGTGGTGGTGGCGATGGTGGTGATGATAATGATGATTGCAGACACGCTGGTTTTGCAGATGTGGTGAAGACGATGGTCGGGTGAGAATTGGTGTTCTTATATTGAATCCAATATTTGCAAGGAATGGCGGTAGGAAGGGGGAGGAGAGAGGAGGGAAGGAGAGGCAGGAAGGGGCAGGAAGATCGAGGGGAAAGAGAGGAGAGGGAAAAGGAAGGAGAGGAGGGGAAGGGGAAGGGAGGGAGGAAGGAGGAGAGAGGAGGAAAGGGAAAGGAGAGAGGAAGAGGGGAATGGGAAGGGATGGAGGAAGGAGGAGAGGGGAGGAAAGAAAAAAGGGAAGGAGAGGAAGGGAAGAAGGAAGGAAAGGAAGGGAGGAAGGTGAGAAGGGAGAAGAGTAGAAAGGAAGGAGAGGAAGGAAGGGGCAGGAAGATCGAGGGGAAAGAGAGGAAAGGTAAAAGGATGGAGAGAGGAGGGGAAGGGGAAAGGTGGGAGGAAGGAGGAGAGAGGAGGAAAGAAAGGAGAGGAGGAGAGGAAGGGAAAAGAGAGGAAAAGAAAGGGAGTAAGGGAGAAGAGGAGAAGGGAGGAGAGGAAGGAGGGAAGGAAGGGGCAGGAAGATCGAAGGGAGGAGAGGAAAAAGGAAAAGGAAGGACACGGAGGAGGAGAAAGGAGAAAGGAAAGAGAGGAAGGGGAGAAGGGAGGAGAGGAAGGAAAGGGAGAAGGAGGAAAGGAAGGAGGGAGGGAGGAAGGGGAAAAAGAAGGAAAAACAAGAGGGAAGGAGGAAGGGGAAAGGAAGGAAAGGAAAGAAGAACATCGAGAGAATCAGAGGAAAAGGGAAAAGAAGGAAAGGAAGGAGGGAAAGGGAAAGGAATGGAGAAAGGAGAGATGGGGAAGAGGAAGGAGAAGAAGGGGGAGGGGGACGTAGGGAAGGTGCGGAAGGTCAAAGAGGAGATGAAAGGAGAGTTGGAATGGGAATGAGTGGAAGGAAGAAGAAGAAGGAGAGAAAGAGGAAGGGGGAGGAGAGGGAAAGTAGGTAGTGGGAAAAGGAGAAGAAGAGGGAGAAATAAAAAAGAAATTGGAGGAGGGGAAAAGGGAGACAAGGAAGAAGAGATGTAGGGGGGAGGTGGAGGAGAGAGAGAGAGAAGGAAGAAGTTGGAGGGGAGGGGGGAGGGGGAAGATAGGGGGGGGGAGGCGGAGAAGGAGTAAGACGTTAAGGCAAAAGGGATGAAAGGGGGAAGAGGGAGAAAGAGAAAGAATAACACAATAGAATGATAAAAAAAAATAGAAATCAAAATCAATAATTATAGAATAAAGAAGTGGATCAGTGGGGGAGAGGGGGATGGGGAGAGGGGAGGGGTGGGGGGAGAAGTGCGAAAGATTTTGCACCAAGACGGAGAGGTTTGAAGGGGATGGGGTTAGCGGTTGGGGTGGGGGGAGGGGGGAGTGGAGGGGTTGAAGGAAGGGGCGGGTAGGGGTAGGGGGGTGGAGGAGGAGGAGGGGATGGGTAAGGGTTGAGGTAGAGGGGGGTAGGGGGACGTGTCAGAGGGGTCAGGACGGGGTGTCGGAGGAGGAGGGGGGGGAGTAGGATGGTAAGGGTAGAAACGGGGGGGGGAGTAGGGGGACGTGTCAGAGGGGTCAGGATGGCGGTGGAGGGTGGAGGGAGGGGGGAGGGGGGAGGAGGAGGAGTAGGGTGAGTAAGGGTAGAGATAGCCGGGGGGAGGGTGGTAGAGGATAGGGGGGGACGTGTCAGAGGGGTCAGGACGGGGGTGGAGGTGGAGGGAGGGGAGAAGGAGGGAAAGGAGGGGAAGGAGGGAGGGAGCAGAGCCATAAGTGCCTGGAGAGTCTCTTGTACAACAGGATATTGACGAGGTCTCAGGATTGACACCCTGGCCTCCTCCCCTCTCCTCCTCCATCTCCTTCCCTTCTTTATTCTCCTCTTCTTCTTCCTCCTCCTCCTACTTGTCTTCTTCTTCGTTTTCTTTTCGTTTCTCCTCCCCTTCTTTATGCGAATTGTTTTATTTATTTTCTTTTTCCGTTTCTCTCATTCTGCCTCTCCTTCGTTCCTTGCTATTCCTCTTTCTAATTATGATAATACTTCCTCCTTCCTCCTTTTCTTCTTATCATTTCCTTCTATTCCCTTTTTTATTATCAAATCATAGTCATTACTTTTCTTTTTTCTTATCTATATCTTCTTACTCTTCCATCTCTTTTTTCCTTTTCTTCCTCATTATATTCTTCTATATCCTCTTCTTCCTATTTTTCCTCCTACTCTTGCATTTCCTCTTCTTCTTCCTCCTCCTACGCTTCTATTTCTTCACCCCTCTACTCTTCCATCTTCTATTCTTCCTCTTCCTCCTACACCTTCTCTTTCTTCTCCTCTCCCTCCTCCTAATCTTCCATTTCCTCTTCTTCCTTTTCTTCCTCCCTCTATCTCTTCCCTTTTCTATTCTTCCTCTTTCTCCTACTCTTACACTTCCTTCTCTTCCTCCTATTCTTGCATTTCCTTTTTCTTCTCTTCTTCCTAATCCTCCTCTTTTTCGTTTTCCTCTTATCATTATTCTTCCTCCGTCTACCTTCTGCTCCTCCTCTCCTTCCTCCTCTCCTCCCTCCCGCTCCTCCTCCTACTCTTCTTCCCAATTTTCTTCCTCCTCCTCCTCCTCTTCCTCTCCTTCGTCTTCCTCCTGTCTTGCAGAGATTTCTTCCTCCTCCTCCTCTTCCTCTTTCCTTTCGTCTTCCTCCTCCTCCTTTCCTCCTTCTTCCCTTCCTTCGTCTTCCTCCCTGTCCTTCCTTTCCTCCTTTCTCCNTAAACTACAACACACTCCACCCTCACCCACCACCCTACACACTCCCACATCTCCATCCCTTCCCCACCTACACACCCCCACCTCTCCACCCACCCTACCCTACACACCCCCACATCTCCATCCCTTCCCCACCCTCCCCCCTCCCCCCTCCTCTCCCTACCACCCAACACCCCCCCTCCCCACCACACCCCCCTACGATCTACAAGACACACTCACGTTCATTCCAAGGGTTGAAGAGGATGTACACGTGGGTATCGAACCGGCGCAGGTGTCTCTCCCCGGGCTGGTTCCTTCGGGTCACCTCGGCCGCCACCTTCCACACTCCCACGGGGGCGTCGGTGGGAATCTGCACCTGCGGGAGGGAAGGGAAGGGGAGAGAGAGTTCAAAATCAAATTCAAAATATTCAAATTAAAAAAAAAGGAACATCACTAGGCGAACTTCCCCCCCCAAAAAAAAAAAAAAAAAAAAAAAAAAAATCTAAAGCTGAAAAAAACACTGAACAGCGTCAAACTTACTTCGATCGTGGCCTTCCTTCCCGACTCCTTGACGAGCTTCACGTCCCAGTCATCGTGGGTCTTCTCAATCTTGGTCTTCCCGTGACGACGAGGAGGCCCTGGGTCCCCTTCTCCACGTTGGGACGAGGACCTGAAGGGGACACAGTGCTCAGGGACCAGGGGTTTGTGTGGGGGGGGGGAAGAGGGAGAGGGAGAAGGAGGGGGAGGGAGGGTGGGTGGGTGGGAAGAGAGGAGGAGAGGGAAGGAAGGTGGGAGGGAGGGAGGGAGGGAGGGAGGTACAGAGAGAGGGAGGGAAGGAGGGTGGGAGAAGGAGGGGGAGGGAGGGAGAGGAAGGGAGGGAGATAGACAAGGAGGAGGAGGGAGGGAGGGTGGGAGGTAGGGAGAGGGAATGAGAAGGAGAAGGAGAGGGAGGGAGGGAAGGAGGAGGGAGGGAGGAGGGAGAG